AATACACCCTCATCAAGGACGACCATCTACACGCTGGGCGTACGTATATACTAGAAGAATTGATCACCTGTAATTGTATTCACATCATCTGTCTTCGCACCTGCCAATATTCTACAGATCACGGTATGAAACTCGCTCCAGCGCTATGGTCAAATCAAACCACTACGATGACGACAATCGTGAAAAGAAGAGACGATGGAAAATGTGCTGGAGTCCGCACAATTAATGAAGACGGACCGTCCAAGTATTCAAGTATGTATCATAAAGATGTGTTATCATCTCACTCCATGTATTCCCAAAAATCATCATAGCGTTTGAGAAATTAAAAAGCCTTGACCTGTCTTTCAAAAATGATTCTGCACTCTGCAAGCGATGCCAGCATGGAGAGCAAGACGTTTCTGTGCGTGTTCATCAATCTTTCCAGACCGCACACTTTGGCGGGAGTAGTATATCGTCAAAACGAGGGATCAAAGTGAGAAATCACTATGAAGACATTCTCCTTGGATGGCGTCTGCTATTGCATCTGCGCTAAATAAGCCACCGCTTAATTGCTACAACACAAGGCAAAATCCCTTGTGTACTGAAATAACCCAAGGCAGAAAATATGTCACGTGAATTACTCCCGCAGCTTTGTTTGTTCACTCGTCAAAGGAGTGTTGAGTGAACTGGCAACTAATAATTTACGGTGTCTGCAATCACTGCGGTTTCCACACCCTCTTATTGCACGACAGGAGCAGTTAGTATATTAACACAATGCGGTCGGCGTAGACGCTGTAGTGTTCATGTATCATTGAACAACCCTCCAAATGCACCACTTATTTAACTGACCCAAAGTTTTTTCTTTCTCCTCTAGTAACAAGAAGAACTTTTATTTCTTTTTCAACTCACTTACTTATTCTTTAATTATTTCTTTCTCTTGATCGAGGGACGAGGTGCTGAATCCAAACTTTATTCAAACAATCAAATAGCTAACGTTTCGGCAGGTCGCCTTCGTCAGAGCCTGGAAGGCAAAGTTGTTTACGATCCAATCAGTCGAACACTTTCATCACTTCTTTAGACAAAACTGTCAGACCTAGATTTCGATCGCATCAAGCACAAAGTCAACCTTAAACATACTCACCGCTTTTATTATATATCTTCCACTGATTGAACAGTGAAGATCAACGGAATGGTATTCACGTAGGTCAGTATTGCACTAATCCCATCAAAACAACAGTCTTATATACTGACTCATATCACGGGTGATTACGAGGCATTTTTCCCTGCGGTTCATAGCTGGACTGGTCGTGTTTATCCAGAATGCCTCAAGTATCTTTCGCGCTGATGTTTTTTGCTCCTGCTCAAGTATGGTGACCTTTAGATGTTCAGATGAATCGATGTTTCTCGTCAAACTCGCTCTAACATTTCTTGGAATTTTCGGTTACAAAGCAGAAATTCAAAAATGAACCGCAAGGAGAAGTATTTCGTAATCACGCGCGACCTCGCTTCATATGTCACGCCAATAACTTCTGACCTGTGCTAGGCATATTGGTTGAACGGTGGCTTGTCTCAATGAATAATAATGGTTGGTTCGAAAGAACAAAAAGGAAAGTTTTTTGAAGGAACATTGTTTACTGTACAAACCTAAAATTGTTTAACACGTTTTTTTGCTGGGCTGCTAGAGCATTTGACTGAGTAGATTACGAGTGAACTTGGCCTCCTGATGCTCTAGAAAAGGCTATATCGCTAAAAAGTCTGTAAGTTTTCGTCGCAATGAGTAACGTTCAACAAATTTTATTTTCAACCACCTCGCACTTGCTCATTAAAAGAAACACGAAAATGAACGAAACTTCATATTCTGGCCCAGTCGATGCCATAAATCTCAAGGTGGTTGGTGATCCTATTTCTTTAATCACTCCTTTGTTTACCGATATTGTGACTAAATTATAGGTTTGTTATAATGGTACATAAAACGAAGGTAATGAGATATGGCATCGTATAATTCCCAGAAACGACGTTGCACTCTGCCATTAGTCCTCTTAGTTTATTGTCATCTACCTATTCATATTCCTTTCGATTAGCTGGCTGAGTAAAACTACAGCAGGTTCTAACTAACTTATTTTGCTTTTTGCATGAAAGTTGTGGAAGCCTAATTTGAGCTTACTTATTCATCATATATGTTTACTTTAACAACGTGGTCAGGTATAGCGGGCTAAGAGGTAGCGCAACAGTATACTTCAAAAATGTCGTTGCTGCTCTGTCTATAAATGGCATTACCATTTACGATGGGGTAAGCGGATTGGGAATAATATGTTTAGCGCTGAACGGTAGTTGCAAGATACACAATACAAACTACTCCATTAAGCATCTAAAGGTACTTGGCCTGTAATGGCTTTGAGCAAATGACTAAAAGTGAGTTGAGAAGTACTCCTGTCCACTGCGTTACACAGATCCCTGCTCAGCGAATTATTGCTTCTCTAAGCACCTTGGCTTCCGTTATCCGCACACTGTCTCAACTCCTTGCAAAAAACACGTTTTTGCTTCTTTTCATAGTATGACTAAGAGATTGAGTGGTGAACAAAAACACGGCCTCAGGCGGGAATCGAACCCACGTTTCATCCTATCCGGGGACGCGTGCTCTACCACTACACTACACTACCACTATCTTTTCATAGTACTAGTACTCACTCGAAAAGCCTACTCTCGAAGAGTGATAAATGTTTTTAACCTGTTGCGTTGTAGCAGAAAAAATAAAGTCGTGTTTCACACTCACACATTTTCTGCCGACAGAGCTTTTTCCTAGATTTTTATAATCAATCAATAGCTCGAATCTCGAAGGCTTTGAAAATACGCTTGGTGTTCAAAAAAGGGCTTTTTAGCGTACTGTAGCGGTTGGAAGAAGATTGAATTAGCACTCGGAGCGCACTTCTTGCCGGCTAGAGGTGTATGAGTAGCTGCATATCGTTCACGCAGTTGAGCGTTATTAACATGAGGACAGCGATTTTGATTATTAAGTTTGGGGTTTTTTCTGCGCTTTGAAAGCTCTCAATGAAACACATTACTACTCTAAAGTTCTCGCTACTCATACGCTTTCCGTATATGCTTAGGTTTCTTAGTTCAGGACATCTAAGCTTGGGATTATGAGAGGGCTTCTTTGGCAATATAAAATGAAGGAATTATCAAGCCCTTCAACTACAGAACTAAGTTTCTGCACACTAAGCTTTGATATCGTTGAAATTTATGCTATGAAATAACCGTTGTTTGCATTAACGCTGGTGCCAATGTTCGTAAATCTCATCCACATACCGGAACAAAAAATGAGCGTGGAGTATGAAGCCCGTCATTCTTTTGACAGTTACAACGAACTAAGAAGTCCTTGATAAACCATGTACACCATTGAAATCGCCGAGAGTTGTGCTAACAAATGATCATTGAATATCTAGGAAAATCTTTGTCTAGTAATAAGTGCCGCGTATTAGGCAGAAATTTATTTTTTACTGTCATAGCAAAATGAATTCTTTATTCAAAAGCCGAGTTCATTCCAAAATTTCTCGAGATTTGAGTTATAGAGTGACTACTAAAATTTAAAAGAAAAGCAGAGAACGACTTTTTCCGGAGAGGTTGAATCAGGGTGGGGACAGCTGAAGTGCCTCATATTTTCAGTATGTTTACTTTATATATGAATACGCCATGTGAACCGTTCATTTCGTCTAATGCTATACACTGTGGGGCTCAGTTTCATCAAAGTAAAGTAGCCAGTTTAGGGGCTAACTGAACCTTTTTTACAAATTTAACTACTTGCACAACCCGTCTTCTCATCTACTGCTCACATATCTTGCTTCAATCGCTTCTTCACAATTGTCCGCTAAAGACTTCCTCTTTTTTGTTCAGTTAGTAGATTGTTGGTCGAATAAATTTTCCTTCGACTCCTGGGCTAATAGTACTTTCACTTTTATGCAAAGATAGCAAACCATCTCCGTTCAAGCGTGTCATTAATTTATAGACTTGAAAATGTGGGAGACTTTGTGAACCCGGAAAGGTCTGATCTGTCGAAATCCAGCATTTTTGCATGTTCTGAATGTGTTGGCTTTTTTGTCTAAAATTGCTTTACATTACGAACCAGGGCAAAAATGGTGGTGAAGGTTTGGTAATCTGCAGTGATATGACGCTTCAGGGCGTGATATGAACACCACTCCATTAAACACAGAAAAATGTTTGATTTGGAATTGAGCTGGCCTATCAATTCATCAAAGACTTTGGGGCTTGAAAAGTCTGAATTTGCCATTTTGGAAGGATGGAGGACACGATTAGCCCACAATATAAGATTTCACAGGTGTCTATGCGTTTATAGTAGAAGTATAGCACTTGTAAGCACTGTGCATCATAAATCTATCCAATACCTGCATTAGTTGGGGCAGTGGCAGTAATGTTTATCTCCTATTAAAAATCTCCTATTACCAAGCCGCCAAGGAGCCATTTATTGAAAATCTCCTATGACCAAACCGCCAAGGAGCGTATCTCCAGAGTTCTTACCACGAATGGATGAAGAAACTGCTCTCAGTTGCCCTTTCCCAATACTACCCCTTCATATAAATATATATATATATATATATATATTACTGAAAATTAACGATTGATCATATTCTAATTAAATACTTCCTTCTTAGGTTAGCGCAATCGCGCTTGTTCTTACCTCAACTATACTTATTAGAGGTTTTGATGAGAAATCAACGTTACTTTCACTTTAGAAGGAGCTGGACTAGAGATTTGCACACTTTTGTCTTAAAAGGTTAATGAGTTGAAATGATACAAAACCTTTACTATCTCGTCACGGACGTCATACTTGTGTTGCTTCAAGTCACTGTGATCATCTGCAATGGAATTATCATTTTCCTGTTTTTCAGGTGTGTTCAACAATGAAATATCAAGGCATTTGATTTGTTTCAATCTTGTAGGTGTTCTTATAGTGATAGAACCGTCTAAATATATTCGTAAAAGAATTGAGTGGTGAGCATATACACGGCCTCAGGAGGGAGTCGAACCCGCGTCTCTTCCATTGCGGGACGTGCGCTACTATCGCTACACCACTGAGGCACATTTGCGCCATCACTCATTCTTCCACATTCCTATGTTAGCTAGCAGATACCAACCTTTAACAGGTTTGGTCGGATATGCGATTTCTCTTTATAAATCTAGTTGAGCTGACAACCATTGTTAGATGTGATACTCCGAATTTCTAGTATTTTCACCGGTTTTTTTTTTTCGCAATGCTATGATGTTACGTATATTTACTGAGAGAGTTGAGTGGTGAGCTTGAACGTCCCCGATATGGATGTAACGCGGGTTCAATATCTGCCTGAGGCGGTGTTATTGCTCACCATTCAATTCTCTTAAGTATATATATGACATCATAACACTCCGAAAAAAGTGCAATAAAAAACTAGAATTTTGGAGCATCACATCTAAATATATTATTTCTTTACTTCAAGAGAGAAGAGTTTTCGTCAAAATTCGTCTCGACTATTAATGGCACTTCTTATGATCACTGACTTTCTTCACGCAATTACAAGTAGGTTATCACTTTCTTGGCTCAGATATCCAAAACAATGAATGGATATTTTGCCTTGATTCAAAGCGTTTTCGTACACTATCTATCTTATTTGGTTTTCAGCGCTTCCATTCACCATCTATCTCATTATTTCTTGGGATCCCATATATATAAATCTAAATTCGTATTATGTAATGATCTCTAACATTCCTGTGATTATTCAGTTAAAGATCAACCTCATCTTGACTATATCGATTGCTATGGAGAGAACTTTGGTAAGATTCGTCTTTAAAATCGGAAAAACAAAAATTAAAAAATGCGACTTTCTCTAAACAATGGTATGAGGAGGAAAATGCAAAATTTTTCACGAACTGCTCTTTTCTTTGATCAAGATTTTTTAACACAGTTTATCACACAAGACCGATGACTTCTCCCTCATAAGTAAAAAGAAGACTCTGACAAAAGCGGGTTGCCGAAACTTAGTCATCAAATTTTGAGAAAGAAGACGTACCAATCTCGTGCAAGTTTTGATCAAAGAAAAGGACGGAAAAGCAAAAACTAAATAAATTTTCAGGCATTGTACTTTCCAACCGCATTCCGAAATCTGTCCAACTACTCATACGTATCGTTTTGTTTGTTGTTCGGGTTTATATTAGCAGTTTTGGATCTCGCCTTGGAATTCTCACTCACGCCATTTAATGATGCGCCAAATTGTGCGTCTGTCGGATGTTTTCTCAGTGACAGATTCCGTTACTATTGGGGAATCAGCAACATGGTGAAGTTTCTTCTCAAAGCCTAATTTGTTGTCATCCAAATATGCACTTTTAGGTGATGGGTATTGTTGTGATCATTTTGATGACCTTAGTTCTCATAAAGCTGCGAGCTCTTCAGCACAAACCACATCAAAGTGGAGTCGTACAGTTGAGAGTGGACAGATTCAAGAAGGTATCAGCATGAAGAAAAATGTGCTGCCCCTGATTTATAAATTTTAGGCCAATCGACGCAGTGTTGGAATCCTTCTCATCTCTTTAGTATTTGTCACTCTTCCAACCATAGGTGTTGGCCTAGCGAAAGCTATGGGCTTTCGCGTTTTCAACGTCGTCGGCCCATTTTACATCGCTGGATTGCTTTGTGCTGGTAAAATTATTTGTTTATTAATAGAAATGCTGTGTAAGTGAAGTAACTGACATATGTTACAGGCGCGTGCAACAGTGTCGCATACCTGGCATTCAATAAGGAAATGCAAGAAGCAATGAAAAAATTCATCATTCGCAAAAAGTCGACATTTCCCGTATCTGTGACTACTATAAAACCTTTGTCAACGATAAGAAGATGATTTTGCGGTTTATTACTTGGCAAAGTGTCTTATCTGTGTTAATCTAACAAGAAAAAATGGAAGATAACCTCCTTTATCAGAAATTTTGTTGAGCCCAACACAGTCTCGCACGTTGGTAAATACGGATGATCATAAAAACGTGAATAAAACAAATGAAAGAAACATATAGACAGTATCAAGCATGATATTTTGATGGGATGAAAGTTTCTAACTCTTTGATTGTAAAGGTTTTATTCACTGTGACCATGAGTCCACTAAGGGCTTCTGCGGCTGCACTACAAAAATTATTTTTCAAAATAGTGTCATGCGGTATCGACAGCTAGACGTGCATTTAAAAAGGAGCAATTCCAAACGCGTTATATCCCTTATAACTCAAACCGATGTACAAAGAAAAATATTACATATAATACCAGCATTATGTTAAATTCTGACGTATACTCGTCGTTCTTAGCGCAGGAACGAGATCCGAATCCTAATTATCTTTGCCGCTTAACTTCAATGTGGTGATAGTGAAGGCGACAGAACGTTTCCATCTATAGCTTGCTTGGTACACCTGAATGCGATTATTGCGAACCATTTCATGGCTAAGACTTAACTTCAGAACCACATATTTCCCGATGATCAACTTGCTGCACAAAATCTTCTCTTAAAGTGCTTACGTGTACTCAAAGCTTTGACGCATGTTGATGTTTTCACACAATTCATTTTGCTCTCTTTTGTCACGAGGTTTGTTGCACAAAATCATGTGACAGAATGTTGAGAGGGTATCTTTTCCTGGAACACGTGAGATTTCACGTCCACATTTCATTGACTATCGATTGGTCATAGAAGGCCGCAGAAAAAATCCAGTGACTCCATAATATCCACTGCAGAAAAGTTTGACAGGTTTGGGTGTCAAATCCTTTCCCAAGCATTAGCGTGGAATTCGCAGTGGTTAGAGTTGCTTCATAGCAATAATTGTCGGCTTAATCACTACCCTCGTGACTAATGATAGAAGTGAAGTCACGGGAGTAGCTTTCAACACTCAGGTGTCATACTATCCGTCTTGGGCTATTTCGCTGCACGAAGAGCTTTTTCTGAATCTAGAAGTTAATGGATAGCCTATTCAGAGCAGGTGCATTTGCAGATGTTAACAAAGGGAGGACATAATTTCAGGGATCAAGTTTTCTATATTATATTAGTAGAATAAATGATGTTCGATCTCTTCGTTTGATGAAGCCTTATATTTTCGTTTTATATTGGTAAATGAGAACCATTACATACCTAGGCCTAAGCAGCCTAAGTTTATGCACGAAACGCATATGAACGTGTAGAAAAATCCTCATAGTATCAGAATCGCATGTTCTATCCAGAGTTTTTTCAACTAGGAAAAAAAATCTCAGATTCGATAACAAGATTTATCATGTAGAAAAATTGCAATATTCGTGCCATTTTTTTCTTAATATGATATTTGCAGTGAAACTGCATGACCGTATCGTTCAGTAGCGCATTTTCTTGTGAACAATCTGGTATACAAGTTGCCTGTATTTGCTTTGTGTGGAGCTCGCTCAAGCTGCCTAAGTCTTGCGCACCGCTTCACTAGCACCATTCCCCACGCGTCATTCGTTCGTGCGTGGGCAAGCGAATTTGTTCCCACGACAGCTCCATCTTGAAGCTAGTAGGGGCACGTTGTTTCTACCAAAATGCTCGCAAGAAAATGCTGTTATGAACGATACTGCAATCGCGCAATCCTAAGTACTTCTGATCAATAAATTTGCTGCTTATTGCTCTAGTACCACAACTTAGTAACGACCTAATGAAATTCTTGTCTTGTATCGTTTATCGTGCGAGACTTTCATTTTTTACCTAGATCAACACTCAAACATAGTTAATCAAACTTTTTTTATGAAATAAACAATGCAATAACAGCAAGGAAACGCTATCAATGAGCGTAAATAGAAGTTAGATAAATATTATACTACTAGTAGATGCAACAAAAACTTCACATAAGAAATGATGCACGGGTTTTCCGAATAATTTATGTGAGGTGTGATGAGGAGCAAGTAGTATGTGAAACCAAACCACGGCAGCGTAGATACCAAGAGATGAGTTAAGAGTTATTTTGTTGGACGTGAGCAGGTGAGCATCGAGACGGTTGCGAGAGTGAGGAAATAATAGCCTATATATGTCGAACATCATTCAGATATATCAAAGGAATGTACATATTCAAGAGCAGCGAAATGATAAGGAGATAGAGTTAGTGACGATGGTGGATTTTGTAACATAGTCATAGAAAGCGCAAGAATTCGAGAAGGCTGGAGCGCAACAACGCGTGAAGATACTTAAGGATTGGAGAACTTCAAAGTATGATGAAGAAGAGTTTGAGACTTAGCTCACATCATTTTGGTTTATGCGAATCGAAGCAAAGGTGAGTGAAGAAAATAAGGGGGAGAGTAAATAACGTGAAGAAATAAAGGCGAATTTAACGCGTCGTCTGTAGGCGAATGACACTACCGACACTCTAGCCACATACTAGGATTTCTTAATACATGATTTCTCGAAACGTTTGTTATAAATTGTTTTCAAATAACAGTCTCACCACATTGTAAAACAATTGTGAAGAAAGTGTTGAAAGTGCCTTCTTATTCTGATGATGTGGTTTTTGTACCTTCTCACTAAAAATGCGTTTGGAAGTTTCTCCAGTACTGTTCAATTTTTAGTATCGTCAACGTTCGCTTGAAATCAAAATTTCATTATACAAGACTAAAAAATTTTCCGTAAAATTAAGGAAAGGATTCTGAAAGCAAAATAGGAAAGGTAAAGTTTTGATATAAAGGTTCTTTCACAAGTCAAGCTGAGTGCCAAGATTGTTCTTTTCAAGCTGATAAGATAGATAGATAGAGCTCTCGGCGTTGATCAATCCCTGAGGATGTTCCATGCATTCGTCTTCAATTTCTAACTTCTTCTAAGATGACTGAATGCATATTTGGCCTTTACAATGGCTCGCGGTGGCCTCGCGCTGAACGAATCAGTGCTGCTCATCCTCCCAGACAAGTCTGAAATCGGCCTAGTACCAATTTACTGACCCCGGAGGGATGGATGACTTGGTGAGCCATGAGGGCAAGATCGCACCATCGACCTCGTGTGCGACGCAGAGCACCTCTAACCACTGTACCACATGCGCTTCTTTAGGCCTAATATCAGATCACTCTCAGACTTGTCTAAGAGGAT